AATCGTCTGTGAACCAGTGGAAACAATATGCCGCATAAAAAACTAGAACAGAGACGTGAGCGTTCATTATCAGTCCAGGAAGCCGGATCCTAAGCCTCAATATAGCTTAGAGCCGTCAACTGTCCGGATCAGCCTTCGTTAGCATATCGTCAGAGCTCGCATAAATTGCGGCGCATTCAGCTCCATCCGGCGCACGTATTTTTCAATTGTATACTTCTTTTGCGAGACTTGCAATTCTGGCTATTCCGCATCTCTTCTTGGCCCTTGTAACATGTCGGTGCGAGCTTGTCCAGTGACGGTGATATTCCGAGTACTTTAATCTACGACGGTGCACCACTGAAGCGCAGAACGGATTTCTCGACTCGATTGCGCCAATCAGATCCGCGTTATCATCGCATTTGCGAGTCCTCAACTCGCGGAATTCGCGCCTGTTGGTCAATGAGGAGCGAGGGGGTTGGCGCGCTTGGTACGCTGTTATTGGGCTTATGACAGTTGGGTGATCTTTGTCGCCATTAATAAACATTTAGTGATTAGATAGATGTCCATTTTCGATATGACAAAGATCAGTAAAAATAAATTTGCATGTAAGCTCCTTATTCTTCACGCCCTATTATTCTTCGTTAACCCTGCTTTTGTTGATGTCCGTCGTGAGAATAGATACGTACCCCACTTGCTATTGCTGACGGCATTTTGCCTGATAAGAGACAATATTTGAGTAAAGCATTTGGGACAAAATCTTCCTTTATTTTGTGTACACTTCTGCCAATATAGAGTAGCACTGATTTGAAAACATGAGCGAGTTTGAACGTAAGCTGGAGACCGCAAAGCGCAGCAACAGCCGCGCCGAGTACTTGGATTTGCTTTACTATATTCGCAAAGAAAAGCTGCGCAAACCACAGGTTGTTGCAAGCATCGGAAAGTTACTTGTAGCCGAGCATCACAGGGGTCTCGGCGATGAACGTAAGTACAAAGATACGGAATATATGTGTGTCTAAACTTGTCTGATGTTCTAAACCTTCAGTATGGAATGTGTACGAACAAACATTCATCGCTGCATTGGACCTGCACGACGATGAACTAGCGACGGTAAAGTAATTTATGATGCATGATGCGTTAATGAAACTTTAATACTTTTCTATATGATATGAAGACGTGCCTTCAGGCGCTACAAACCAAATTTCCGGGTAGCTCTCGTGTGGCGCGGCTCGAAGGCATGCAACTGGAGCAGCGCGGAGAATTTGCCAAAGCCCTAGCGCTGTACGCCGAGCTATTGGAGGCGAACCCGGCCAATGCTTTGGTACTGAAGCGTAAAATTGCAATCTATAAGGCGCAGAAGAAGACAACGGATGTAATTATGGCGCTAAATGAGTTCTTGCGCAGCTTTGGCACGGATCTAGCGGCCGTACGTCGGTATTCGAAAAGATACGGTAGATACAGCAAAGTGCTGAGACGATATTGTGGCTTTGCTTGCAGTGGACGGAGTTGGGGGAGACGTACTTATCGTTAGGCGCGTATCGCTACGCAGCGTTTTGCTACGAGGAATTGGTATTGCTTAACCCAATGGACGCTATCGCACACAGCCGTTTAGCTGACATTTACTCGACTATTGGCGGCCTGGAATACTTGCTGACAGCACGCAAGCACTACGCCCACTCGATTGAGCTGAACAAGAAACAGAATTTGCGCGCATTTTTGGCGTTGCTGGTCTGTACCAAAGCCATTGCAACCCAACGGGGCTATCGTGCTGACCTGGACGATGGCGGGATTAACGAGCGGCTTCGGAAATTTGCACTAGAGCATATTCAAGACTTGTATACAGCGCATTCGTCCCCAGACCTTACAGAAATCGGTAAGTGGGACTTTCTATATTGTATCTTAACGTGTTTACCAATCTTTGGTGTCTTTGGAACGGTATAGCGCAAGCAGCTATCCAAGCTCTCTAGAAAAATTAAGTCATCGTCAGCTCTTCGAAAAACATTCTTGATTATTTCCAGCACTTGTCCTACTTTCTGTTGCAAATTTTAGCAAACACACAATTCTAGTCTAGTGTACGCGCTGCTCCATACGCTACAGCAAGATCTGGATCGATGTTCGAGAGCGGTGCGCGACCATGGAACATTTCAGTAAGACGCTGACGCACCCATGGAATTCGTGAAGAACCTCCTACCAAAACCACTGCGTCAATTTCCTCTGTGCCGATATTGTTGGCTGCCAAGATGTCACGCACAGGAATCATTGTCCGCTCCAGCAACGGTTTGCATAACTCTTCGAATTGCAATCGCGTGACATCAACTTCAATTTGTATTGATTCATCGCCTTCATTCCATACACAAGCAGCAGTCACTACAGAAAGATTAGTCAATTGCCTTTTTAACAGCTCGGCAGCTTGACGGACGCCAGCCATGGTACATGGCGGCTCTGGTCGGTCCTTGAGGACGCGTTTGCCCTCAGTTTTGGTATTGTGGGTTGAAATTTTCTTTTTTAATTGAGATTCAAATCTCATTAGAAGCCAAGCCGACAGTCGCGCATCTAAATCTTCACCACCGAGATGATTGTCTCCTAAGGTATCCACCACGGTAATGGCGCCATTACGTGCAAATAATAGTGACACATCTAATGTGCCGCCTCCAAAGTCAAACACTAGCATAAAATTAATATTCTGATCCTGATGCAAACCATAGGCAATTGCAGCGGCGGTTGGTTCTTCTAGCACACGAGAGACTTCCAATCCTGCCGCTCGAAATGCGGCTTTTGTGGCATTTCGTTGTTTCTCATTAAAATCCACCGGCACTGCAACCACCGCTTTTGTGACCTGGTTGTGACCGACATATCGATGCGCCATGAAGTGAAGGTGTCGCACAATGGCAGTGCCAATCTCTACTGGTGTCACACACTCGGGGTGATTTGGTAAGTTGAGCGCAAAGCATATACCGTCATATTCGTTGCGTTGCAGTGGCTTGATGTTAAACTCGTATGGCATTGTACCATTTTCGGATTTGATAACGTCATCGTAACTGCTCACAACACAAAATTCAGCTTGCACAAGCCCCATCGTTTGTTCATGCTCGAAAAATGCACACAAACCTTTGGCCAATAAACCTCTTGGCATTAAAGATTGTGTGTTGCGGGTCTATAGTGCGATGTGTTCGAGCCTCGCGACCTATCAACACACCTGAACAATGCAATTATGTACACTCCACGTAATGTAATACTTAGATCAGTGATACCTCCATCGGGTAGATATGCAACAGTGGATGGCACTAATACATGGCCTTCATTGTCTGCAATTGCTGTCACGTTGTTTTTTTGAAATATTGCCACAACCGAGTACGTTGTACCTAAATCAATGCCCACGACTGTGTCCAAGCTTCAGATCAGATCTGCGTTAGACACATTCTAATGACATTTGGGTACCATGGTCTCGGCCTGTGAAGCCTTGGCGCGCGAGCAATGCGGAGGCTATAAGAAGAATTCCGCCAGTTAGCAGCAATAAGGAGCCCACGTTCACGCTTTCGAAAGCGATAGCGCTGTGGCGTCGACGGTCCGCACTATGCATTTGTAAAACACAAGCGTGAATGGTGATAATTGCGTTAAGAGCTATATCACGGAAATCTGACATTCACGACTTGAATTGTCTGCGTGCCAGTCACAATATTGTCACAATTACCCCTCGTACTTATTAAAGCCAAGCTCTGAAGTACTGATGTAGGACCAAGTATCATGATTAGTACAGATGCGGATGAGAGCCAGAAAGGAGAATACGCTGACTTTTAGCCTCATGCTATGCACTACATAGGATTTTATCACACTTGAAATTAGAGAGCAAAATTATACCAATATACTTGACAGGCTATGGTTCTACTCCTGCGTTGAGCCTACGAACTCATCGGTGTTTTCGTTAGCACGGACTCGTTTGATTTAAGCTCTCTTTGTCTGAGGTACAAGACAACCCCGTTGCACTTGGGAGCACATGTCTTCAGATTGACGACCGAGCCTTGATCAGTCTGTTCCATTAATATGATAAAGCACGAGTAATCAAATTATCTGTCCACGGGACAACAAGACTTGCTTGACAAGCTATTCATCTCTAGGGAGGAGTCCAATTGGCGAAAATTGCTCGCCTGAATATAGTAACCAGCCCTGTGAAAGCGCTGGCAAGAAACGCCGTAGGGACACCACCAACTTCTACATTGAGGACGTTGATGCTACGCACGGCCGGGTGAATCTCTATTTGGAAAAGACAGTTAAGATGCCATACTCCAGATGAAATATTCGCTCGTCGAGGCCACACTCGAGAATAGGCACTCGCACCTTTACCTATATTGAAAAGGTCATCCAACATATGTCAACAGATGTCACAGGTGCTCGCACTGCCTAATCAGGCGTATTATGTGTGGTGATAGCTCGAGTACTCATTGAGGAAGGCGAGAATTGGTAGACTGTGTTTCCGATTTCAACCTCACATAGTTTGTATGGTGACAGACGCTCTTCAAAAAAAGGTTGCAGCTTCTATCTTCAAGGAGGTTTTCGTTCAGGCACGAACAACATCACAACCTCAAATGTCGACCAAATTCTTTTAAGGGTGCGGTAGATGTTGAATTGATACGAAGCACGTTAAATGCCGCGACAGCGTATGCAAATACGGAGGGTGAAAGATATACAAACGCGCCAGAGACGATTGACATTTTAAGAAAGCTGAGGAGGAAAGAGTGATATGATAGCTGCTGAGCAAAAATGTGATACTTGCAAATATCAGTGGTAGAATTGAGTAATAGCGCCCTCCGCGTCCCATTCTCTCCCAGTTAAGAGGTAAGCAAGGTCGATCGTTCTTGCAGGGTTAAACGATGAGCCCCTGAAGAAAAACGCGCAGTTCTAAAAGGCATGGGATGGCTTTGAAATGAACTATATATGAGTATGACAACGAGGCGACGAAAGCCCAGCACAGAAGTTCCCCTCGAATCGTGGTGTATCATAAAATTTTGACCTTCCAAAAACTGCGTCACACAACAACGACCCCTACCTAGGAATAATATGCTATCGTAAACGTTGTCTCTCGCAAAGTACAAAACGTATCAGGTGAAAAAGACAGAAAATTCATCTCCTGGCATCAATATTCAGTGTCGAAAGCGCTAACGGCGAGTGGCATATTGTGCGGGCTTATTGTAAGCTTGATGTAGTTACCGTTCGGGAGCAAACACCGATCCCGAGATATAACGTGCTGGTGATTAGCATTGTTGTTGCATGCTCTTAACCTTATATCTACCCAGCCTGAGGCCCCGTGAAGTTCATCGCGTTGCAGTAAGTACTCCGAGCTAGAGTGAGTCGTAGGACCCTCAGAAATGTTCAATTAATCAGCAAAGCTCATCCGTCATATGACATAGCTAGGTGTTAGGTTGCATTGACCACACAGAGACCTAGATCAACAGTATATTCGTCTCAAGTCGTTCACATAAAACGATTGCGAACTGTATGTGCTTGAGGAAATTATCTGTCAATATAGACAACTACTACCAACCAATTCCCTCTTTTGGGAAATTTCAGTACGTCACTCATACACGCGGTGATCATGGCCGTTGTGGATTGCTTAGTGCTTCTATCCCAGCGACATTCAAAGAAGTGGTTAGGTCTGACTTAGCACAAGTATGGTGAAAGTCACGCTGACATGACACAACCCTCGCCAATTCTCGTGCAAAAGATATCAAATGGGGTTGGGGTGCGGCAGAAAAAGCCGTTCTTGAGGCCGTATAAATAGTGCCGTATGTCCTCATTCTAGCCTTTATGGATCCGGACCGGCCAGTACCTGTCGTTTTAAAGCAATAATCTTCGGACTGAAGCCATTTGGGCTCTGCCAGAAAAACTATCATGTACTGCGGCGTTGTCACCACGTCACTCATGAAAAGTGGTTATCTTTCTTTGTCAAGTATACCTATCAGGAGAAGCATATGTCCGATCGGCTTAATGTAGCACCAGATGCACTTTGCGTCACCCCACCATAGAGCCGTCGCACACTACGATGGTGACGTTGCTAAGAAATGAGGCGAAACGTACAGCTTGTGGGTCAGACCCAGGTTTTGTTGCGCTGCTGAAAGACTTTTCAGTAAATCAGATGTATTTCTATCAAATAAGTCGCGGATTTGCACCGTTACTTATAGTTACAAGGCTTGCCACTCAACTCAATCAACGTGTGAAGGCGCCTTATGACGAGGAACTTAAGTACATAATACTGTACGAGGCTTATGAATCCTCCTTGGGCGGCCAGCTTGGAATAAATCCGACTATTGCTCTGCAAGCTATATAAGCTTGCGGCTCAACATGTACAAGTGCTTAAGTTTATATGTGCGCGCGTGCAAAACGTGTCTAGGGGTCAAACTATTTTTTTCTTGCGTCATCGACATATTGGCTAGTATGTGGCTTCTGGCACAATGCTGATTTGTCTGTATTATTTGGCGTTAAGTTTGTATTGGCTTTGTGTTTGCGGACTATCTGAGCAAGATGGTTCGCATCGCTGCTGTCAGTGATACCGTTACCGGTTGGGATATCACCAGGCCGCTCCTCGACAAGGTTTTTTGTCAGCATTTATTGCCCCTGGTCATGATATCGGATAAATTTGCGATTTACAACAAAATTCTGGTGTGCTTTGTGCAGGGTGTCTTGCGGTAGATTGGACTTGTCAACCGCTGATTGTTTACAGACAGATGGTCAAACGAAACGTGCTGACCGTAGGGTAGAGGATACGGTAGCGCGGAGAGACCGCGGTGCTAAGCATTTTTTATTCGTTGTATTTTCATTAAATAACGGAGTACATGTCTCTACAGGTTTACCCCAGTGGTCTAATCCACCCCCGTGTCTATTTGATACAACCACAACTTGTATATAGACTTAAATGTGAAGAATAATGGTATAACTTGACTTGCTGAAATTATCCCGGCTGCACTTCGTAGCAAAAATCACATATTTATCTCAATGAGATCAAATAGATGGAGAGATATCATGTGCAAATGCGTCATGTAGATGTCAGAGGACGGTGGAGCACACGTAAGAATGTAGTAGCTGTAAATTTTGTATTGAATGCGGATACCTATCCATATACATTTCATACGACGTAGTTAAGATCCCGTACATCGGACGGTTCGTGGTTGTAGAAAAATAGAACGAGCTACATGCTTAATGACACGACGAAAATGCAAACTCAGCTTGCGTCATGTTACTTTATTTGATCCATATGGTGATACGCTTTTCGAGCTACTTGTATATGAAGAACTCAGTTGACGATGGAGCAGCATGTCAACAACCTCCCTAAAGCTGAACTACCTCCTGCCTTAGGGCGGCGATATGGCGCCAAACCCAATGGATGAAGTAAGGCAGATTATCATCACATCCGAGGAAATTCACGAGAGCCAGCCGTGGAAGTGTCGTCCTTCGTCAATACAGCTTGAAAAACAAGGGTGACCCGCTTCCATATGAAGCAGATAGTGTGTTGGCAATGCTGAATTTGCTGTCTGGTACAATGGAAGAATTACCTACACTTTTGAACTCCTAAGAGCTTTAGGCCTTACTATTGCAAAATTTCCATGATGTCGCTGCCGAATAATATCTGGTGCATCTTTTATCTTTCCACGACTAGCGCAATCACTCCTCTCTTGCTGGCGGAACTCGGACTTGTTATATATCTGAGACTTGACCTGAAGCTTTTATCTGCAGTTTTATGGAAACAGCAGTGCTATTTATAGCAAAACTCGAGATAACGAATTTCACCTATTCCTTCACGTTGTGCATTGCACCTTGCAGAGTCAAAATTAAATGACGTTATGGTTTCTTCACCTCGACTGGCTAATAATACTAGGAGATGGATGAGGCGGCATGTCTGCCAGACCAGTGCGCGAATGAATTGAGTGAGATGTTCTTCGGTTCTTTCACCAGCATTCAGTACCCAAAGTATGGTTTTATGGTAAAAACAAATTACCGGCCCACTGTCATTTCAGGTGCACGAGGTACTCTCGAGTAGTGGTAAATGGAGGGGTCATTAAGCACCCACAAAACCATTTTTGAGCGTTCATTCACTCGTTGTTTGAGCAGAGGCTCGCGCGCATATACAAGTAAGAGTCTTACTCATCCCAGAGCTTCGTATAACTGATTATCTTCACGAAACTGAGTCTGCAAAGTAGCTGCGATGCTTCTACTTGCAGATGAGCAAGCTGAGCTTTCTGATCCAGACTGAACGTCATCGTGAACTCCGATGGGAATTGTTGCTGCACTTGATGACTCAAGGGATGAAAACAGAGTGCGCAATGTGTCTAGATCATGTTGAGACCCTCATCTTAAATAAACAGCTTTGCTGAACATCGCACGGTAAGAACAAAGGTGTCGGGTCTGGACTTGGAGATCTCCGTGAGAGGTCTCATCGGCCTCTTCATCCTAGATGAATTAAGCTCGTCTCGATAAAAGGAACCCTCTTTCTAGGGCTTGTTGAGCCTTAATAATACGTTATGACGAATTCTTCCGCCTTGGTACGTCATTGTAAGGTGTGAGTAATGAATTTACAATCCAAGTCATTGGGCGCTCGCTGAGCATTTGCTACCGCGCAATGTATGAAATGGCAAAAGGAACTGTGAGTCCATATTTTGGTCAGGTTAGCATTATAGATCTTAAGCAAGGCTTTGTCTTAAATTTTTTCTAAGGACGCTACGATATAAGCTGTATGGCACTAGATATTGACATTGAGTAGCAAATTTCATTCATCACCCCGACAAGACCAACTTTGAACGCATCCGTATAAACATTTTTCTATGAATAGTTCTCTAGCTATTTTTGTCAGGCTTTTGTATATATATAAAAATGTTTGAAGGCTGGTGGGGGTACTAATTTTTTTTTGTAGAAGCAGTTTGGCAATTTTGTTGTGGTTTATTAATATTAGGCCTATCAACAAATATATAGTTGCGTATGTACCAATATGTATTTGCAAACGCATTGACAAACTTTCATGTGTTTCAACTAAATGTCCCTTTGTACCCAAAAAAGTTTCTTACACAAAATTAGATGTCAGATTGTGTTGGGGGCAAAGTTAGAGAAGTGGTCTTGAAAGCTGAGAATAAAAGCACATGTCTTAAATATAATCATTCCTAATTTAGATCAGCCATTTCATATCTTCTGGGACACTTCAGCCTTTTCCATTATGTTTGTTTACTCAAGTGAAGCGTTATGCAATGTGCTCTTCATTTATTATTTCTTGAACGATTCAAGCGACCAAAAAGAATTTTGTAGTCCATAAGAGGAATTTACTAGCGCTGCTGAAAGCTCTTATTAAATTAGAGAGTCCTGCTCCGCTTTCACCCATTTTGCTCA